TTTCAGCATACGCGCTGGGGAATTCACGCTTATACTAAGCAAGGGTATGAATGTTGTATGTGAAATCTGTTTTATCATGAGGAGAGATGAAACGTGAGACAGTGGAGGTCGCTGTTATAGAAAAGGAGTTTTATTCATTGTCACAGAAGCCAGGAAATAGGATGATTTTCCTAAGCTATGGTCTGAAGGCACAAACTAGGCAGTACAATGTTTTTTTTCTGCATTCAGTGGCTGTGATAGGTGAACATCTACGGTGTTTGTGAAATTCAAGTACTAGTCTGCTTTCTTAGAATGAAATGGCGGGTCTAGAAATATCTTAAACTGGTTTGTAATACAGCATTTAAAGGAATGCTGTCAGCTAATTCACACTCAGTTTAGGTTTTCTGTGTGTACATGTTTTAAAATAGTTACATTTAAATGCTGTCAGTGTAAGCAAGAGGATGTAATACAAGTCAGTTTTTCTTTAGATTTGAGCAGCGTGGTAAAATAGTAGTGATCCTAAAATAATGTTTAGCTTTGCTTAGTGTATATGTATACCCTGTTTGCATTATAAATGGCAAAAGAAATTGAAGGTTCAAATGCAATATAAGAAGGAGATGCGGGTGTGGAATTCAAACTCCACTGTGTTTTGCTATTACGACAGTATTCTAAATTTTTTTTTTAAATATAGCTTTTTTTTCTTACTGTTTTTAAAAAGCAATCGGTGCGCTTAATATCCTTGTGCCAAAGATTATCGAGATCTTTCTTGTCCAGAAGTAACATGAGTGTCGCTAGAAGTGATGATACTCTGGTAAGTGTGTACTCTGCATGCTTAGAATGCTTTATTACATCTGAAACAACTTTATCTGAAATTATTTTAACAGAAATATTGGGTTGTTGAAAATATGTGTGATTAATCAGTCTCGTATGTAGGATGAAATAGATTATAAGGCTGCAGAGGTCAGTTATCCGTAGTCTGATATTCTGCACGACACAAACCTTGAAGATGAATTTATTAATTACCATGGTGTGTCTGATAGCTAGTGCTGGAAAATCATCTAACTTTGTTTTGCTTCAGGAGGATTTTTTGTACTGTAGCAATTATAATGTGAAAAAGTTGCATCTGAATTTTTTTTATGGCACTGTGTAGAGTAAAATAATATGCCATTTTTTACCAGAATATTCAAAATCATTGAGACCCTCTTAGATTCAGTGAATGCTAGACAGCAGTATCATAACAACCTGTTACTTAAGGAGGAAATTTTTAAGTTAGCCAATATTCAGTTTGTAGTATTGCATACATCTATTAGATTTAAACAGTCAGAAGCAATTGCTGTATGCTTTGCAATTACAAATGCTTGTAAATCCAAAAACATTCTTCTTTAGCTTACTCTTCCGGTTTTAATACACACTTCACAAATTCCCTGTGATCACCAACTTACGTATGTTAATACGTTTAGAGCCGGGTAACGTCATCTTTCGATGCATTAGTAGAATCAAACTTCAAAAATTTTGCAGAGCCCTTTTTATCCATATTATCTTCCCTGTGCCCCTCCTGTGCAACTCGCCACTCATTTCCACTTTTCTTCCTCTTTCTGCTTCCATGCTCTTTGTTCTCTCCATCTTGCCCTCCTTTCCCTGCCTCCGCCACCTCAGCTATCATTATGACTTTTAACACTGGATCAGCATTTAACACCTATGTTGCAGCAGAAAGGATTGTAGCCTAATATAAGTGTTCTAAAAAATCTGAAACCTCAGGAGAAAGGAGGTGAGAGTGATCCAAATACCGGACTCAGTGAATTTCAGTTCTTTGACATTTTACTGCATGGGGAAAAAAAATAAAATTACACCTGCAGACGTATCTAGGTTCATTACTTATGTTCTGGAGTTTTAACTGGTCCATTTGAATAATGAAAGCTTGGTCCAAAGTACTTCTTCTATGTCATAGTCACAGATGGTACAGTCTTGTATTATAATAATTATAATACCATCTGATATTCCAGTTTGTATTTGCGTACTTCTTGGTATTTTTCATGTTCACGTATATGCATGGAATTAGTTTCATTTGATACAAGTACTGCATCTACTGAAAGTCCTAGGAGGATAAAGAAAGTACACCTAATAAAAGAATCCTGTTTGGAATCTCAATGAGTAACAGGTTCATGTGTTGAAGAAAAGGGAAACATACTGTACTGGCAAAAGTGAGAGGGGTTTTGGTGTGGGCTTTGTTTTCATGTAACTTGTGCACATGTTAGCCATACACTTCATGAAGGATTACAGCTTGCAGCTGAAGACTTTGAAAATTTTACTTTTAAAATTTTTTTATATGTCTTGGCAGCTGTTGAGATAGGGATTTTTTTTCCTTTAAGCTAATAATTTTTCTTCTTTTTCATTTAATTACAAGGATGAGGAAGATTCTTTTGTAATGAAAGCTATTATTCATGCCATCAATGATGACAATTTTCCTGGATTACAGCACCTTCTGGGATCTCTGACAAATTACGATGTCAATCAACCCAACAAGGTAGTGTGGGTCTGGTTGAGGTGCGTGGGGGACTAGCTATCATCCTGTTGAATAGAGCAGCATGGTTGTAAAATAGAAATATAACACCCAAAAAGAAGAGACCAGTGGATGGGAAATAATTCTGACTTTCTTTAGGAGAAATTTTAATGTGGTCTGTGTTCAGACTTCTTGAATTACCTGCAAATGGAACCGAAAATGTTTGGGGGAGGGGGGTTGGGGTTTTTTCTTTGGTTTGGTTGTTCTTGTTTTGTTGTTGTTGGGGGTTTTTTTCCCCTTAGGCCTTTGAGAAAGTATTAATGAAATTGTGTTGTCAAGAGCTGCGGTATATCAGATATCAGCCTTTGTTGTTGTTGTTTCTTGTGGCAGATGAACATGGCAGAATATGTCGGAATAACCAGACTGCCAAACCTGTATTTTGAGAAATAGTCATGAAGAGCACTATAAAGTTAAAGCATCTGTTATTTTACGATGACGGTGTCTTGAACCTTTAAAAAAAAATCAGTGTTTTTGTGTTTTAATAGTGCAGTCCCATTTACTTTTCCTGTATGTTGCTGGTGGCTTGCATCTGTGAGGTGGTGTGGCAAACACCTTAGGTAGTCCAGCTTAAAATATAGATATGTAGATATAAAGGAGTTGCAAAGGGGATTGTCCTTGCCAAACAGGGCTAAGAAGAGCCTAACATTAATATTCCAGGTTTGAAAAGCATACCTTTAATGTGTGGTGTATCATTGAGTAAATGTGAATTCCTCCCAAAAATATGGGAGATTGTTGTGCAATAAATGTCTTTGGTCAAAAGGGCAAACTGTTTCTGTACAGTGCTCCCTGAAGACATAATTTGAAACTGGAAATCCAGAGATGCTGTTCAGTGCTTGCCTTTCATTCTGCTTTCTTTTCTTAAGCCTTGAAAAATGGAATGTATTGTTCTCACTTGTATTTCATTGTTAGCATGGAACACCTCCGCTACTGATTGCTGCTGGCTGTGGAAACATTCAGATGCTTCAGTTGCTTTTAAAGCACGGATCCCGTATTGATGTTCAAGACAAGGTCAGGGTTTTTCTTTGTCACCGTTCTACGTAAGTTTTTGGTACAGTTAGGAGAGAACAGGCAGTTCCCACCAAGTTGTACTGGAAATTAAAAAACGAGGGTTGAAAGGCCCATTCACTATCTTCTACAGCAGAAAGATAAAAGCAAATCATTAATAATGTCATTTGTTTCTAGTGTATATCCTCTGATTTTGATCACTTTATGAGCTGAAGTAATTTGAATGATCCTAATCTTAAAATACAGTTCATGCTTACAAAATTGCCTCAATTAGTTCAAATTAGTGATTGCCCTAAAACACAATGGTGAACTTTATTTAACATGGAATGATGAATGCACATTTTAGTGATGGAGGGTATTGCAAATAAAACTGTCATGTGACAGAGGGTGAACTTTGCAGCAAGGTTTTTACCAAAATATTTAGTAACAATCTGGGATTCATTTAAAACAAACTTGAAGCACTGTCTGCTTCTCTGTCTAGTAGATGGTAAAGTAAGAAACGGAAAGGTTTTTATCTCATGACTGTTCTTTCCAAAAAAAATCCCTTAAAAAGGGGAAGAGGATTATCCTTGCAGTTAGTGATCCTGTTAGACGTCCTTTGCATAGAGGGGGTTTTGTTCTCATTGTTGAATTGTGGGCTTGTTGATCCAATTTGAAATTTTTTTTATTAAGTAAATATGTTCATATAAGCTTTAATATCTGTTCAGTATATCTGTGTACATCAAAGTGCATGTATACCTTAGCTGATAATCTAGAATTAGGACTCTAAATTGATCAATAAGATTTGTAATCAAGTATTTATGACAGGCTGGATCCAATGCAATCTATTGGGCTTCTCGACATGGTCATGTAGAAACACTGAAATTTCTTGACGATAATAAATGTCCTTTGGATGTTAAGGATAAGGTAAGCAAAGCATTCTTTTTGATGCAGAGAGCATTTTTTCTTGTAACTTTATATTAACTAAGAGAAAGGTCTTTCAGAATGATATTCAGCTGTGCCATAATTCAACCTTATGACTGGTTTTTTAGTGTGGTATTATAAGCTGACATATAAGGCTGTAATAACACAGCTTTAAAGTAGCTGGATGTACTGATTATTTTCCTGACAAACGTTAACCAAGCATGCATCTTAAATGTGGTGAGTACATGGTGGGTAGGTGGGGAAGTACAAACTTAACTTAATTTTCACTTGAAGACTAGATTTCTTATTGGAACATAGGGTAAAATCGTGATTCTGTTTTTTATTCTTCTTGATTGAAAATCACTTTTGTCTGACAAGTAAATTTGACTGTTATTAAGTTGAATATAATGAAGCCTAACAATTTATAGCTGATGAGCACTTACCTTGTCTCCAGCAGTGTTACTTTAGCAACATTTGCCCTAGAAACTAGTTGCTGTTAAAATCTTATACCATAGTGGTGTTTTTATACTAACCAAAGCTGCGGTACAGAGGCACTTTGACTTGGGAAACACACTTTGCTTTGTTGAGAGAACTAGTGCAAGGCACATTAGCAAAATTAGTGTTTAACTCCTTATAGGGCTACTAGGAAATAGGTTACTCTCTTAATAAAAATGCCATTTATTTTTCATATAACAGAAGGTTGCAAATAATTACATGTAATGACCAAAATGTGCTAGGATATACCAAGGTGTTAGGCAAGCTCCTCATATTTGTATATACAGGGCAGAGTAGGGGCATATAGAAATAGAATTAATAGAAGTAGGATATCTGTTTCAACACCAATTGCCCATGCAGCTACCTCCTCATATTGCTCAGAAATCCTGTTGTGGCTGTGACCTGGAACAAATAAAGTAGGAAAATAAGTTCTGAAAAAGTCAGGAAATAACCTGTCAAGTCTGTCACATATAACTACAGCTTGTAAGCGAGAGATCTCTGCTGACTGAAGCTGTGCCACTGGGTTACAGGGAGGGAGGAGTACCCCATGCAGTATACAGGCATTCAGGCTGTACACGGCAGTGTATATCTAGGGTGACACGTGAAATTACAGTGGCATGTTCTTCTGTAATTGCAGTCTGGGGAGACCTCTCTCCATGTCGCAGCTCGGTATGGGCATGTGGATGTGGTTCAGTTTCTGTGTAGCATTGGATCCAATCCAAACTTTCAAGATAAGGTAAGTCATGGAGACTGTCTGTTTTTCTTCTACAAATAAGGCCAACCAACTACTGTTACAAAACTCAGGTTCTCTCAAAAAGCTTAAAGAGGGAGAAACTCAACATCATGAAGGTACGGGTGGTGGTTTGTGCTCTGTGAGTTCAGGGGTTTGCATCTCCTTGGTGAGTGTTCTGTTTTAAACACTGGAATAGTCTTTCAACACACAGGATGTAGAAGCTGCTTATGAAAGAGGATGTTTTCAAGCAAGAGAACCAAGATAGTTAGCTCAAGAGCATGGAACCATCTAAACCAAGACTGCTGACATGCAAGGTGTTGTCTTTAGATAGTTTTATGGTGAGAAGTATGGACTCTCAGAATCCAGGTGAAAATCTAGTGCATTACCACAATCACTTGGTATATCAGCAGGCGTTACTGTTGCTTTGAGAATGTCAGCATTAGACACTACGATATTTTTTTCTTTTGTGTCAATTTTCTAAGTTAAGCTAGGGAATTGTTCCTCCTGGCATTCGGTTCAGCTCTGCTTTGTTGTTTTCATTTTCCATGTTAATAGGAGGAAGAAACCCCACTGCATTGTGCTGCTTGGCATGGCTACTACTCTGTTGCCAGAGCACTCTGTGAAGCAGGTTGCAATGTGAACATTAAAAACAAAGAGGGGGAGACTCCGCTTCTGACAGCATCTGCTAGAGGTTACCATGATATTGTGGAATGCCTGGCAGAACATGGGGCTGATCTTCATGCAACAGACAAGGTTAGTTTGCGTTTCTTTTGGTCAGAAATTGTATCCAGAGATCAAAGGTGTCACAGAGGCATCTCTTCAAATTGCATCATTTGAATGCTGCAAGCCAGCATTGTTTCCATGATGTGGATTTTCTGAGCAGTTCACACAGAGACTATTGATGGCTGCAGTAGGCTTTAAAGTTGCCTGCTATTTATTTTTCCATGATTGGGTTTTGCTGATTCATCATCACCTTATCAATTATCACCTGATGAATTACCGCCTTATGAGTTACAGTCTATAAAAAATGGCAGGAATATTGGGTTCTGTAATTGGCAACAAACTGTTAAGAGAAAAAAGATGGATTTACTGTTTGCCTTCTATTCCTAGTGGTTGGATAAATCACACCTATTTCCAATAAGCTAAATTCCAACTGTTTAATTCAGAATCAGGTTTTGTCTTTCATGGTGTAATCCCAAGGAAGAAATTCAGCATTTCATTGCTTGCACTTTTGGTATGCTTGTCCTATTATTGCTGTTAGTTACTAAAGCAAGTTCTGAAAAAAACCCTTTTGCTTCTAAAATGTGTTTCTGGTCACATTGTCTCTTTTAGTTGTTTCACAGAGAGAAAGCTCTGTCTATAAAGTTACTGACCACTAAGCAGATTGCATGACTTTTGCATCACTAATTTCTGTCAGAAAACACTAGAGTGGTTTACAATATTCAACTGGTTGTTACAGTTGGTCACTCTCCCACCTCCTAGGGAAGCTGTTAGTAAAGAATGTGTGTTTGCATTTCATCCATTCCACTGCAAAGCCTGGTGGCTTAATAGAAATTTGCTTTCATCCCATATTGATTTGTTCTGACAGCTACTGTGCATCCCACTGCCTCCACTCTCAAAATAAAAGCCATTGTGATTCTTGAGGCAAGGAGATACACCCAGTTACATGGAAGGATGGTGACTCTGCAAAATGCTTTGCTTTTTAGCATTATTAAATCTCACTTGCACATTGTCTTGTCGTTTCAGGATGGTCATATAGCCTTACACCTTGCTGTGAGAAGATGTCAAATAGAAGTAGTTAAAACTCTTATCAGTCAAGGATGTTTTGTAGATTTCCAAGACAGACATGGCAACACTCCCCTGCATGTGGCCTGCAAAGATGGGAATGTTCCAATTGTGATGGCACTCTGTGAAGCGAGTTGTAATTTGGATGTCACTAATAAGGTAAATGGAACACAGATACTGAACTCCTTTGTTTAATAGCTCACCTGTTGCATTAGATGACCTTTTCCAATTCTCTGATATGAAGAATGTCTTTACCTCTTGAAGTGGCCAAATGCAAAGCATTGAACAAGTCACCTTGCAAATTTGCCTAAGTTTGTTTCAGTTGAGTAGATAATCAAAGATACATGAAAAGTGAGCCCAGTTGAAATATTGCAGTGTATTTTGACACTCAGCTCTAATGTTGAAGTATATGCCAACCTTCTTCACTATCTGGATTGCTTTGCTTTGTGCAGATTACATCTAGGCACTGAAGAACAGATAATATGTATTGCTGCTGGCCTTGATTTGATGTGATTTAAAAACAGTAATTTATATACAGAATTGATTGTACAGTTTTATGAAAAATCTGGTTTGAATTCTTCCAAATTACATGAAAAGATCTATACTGTAATCTAACAAAGGATTTAACTCAACTGCAGGTTCTATTCCCAGTTATAAGTGTCATATGGGCTGGTTTATGTTTTTCTGCATTGAGTTAGTTTATTACAATAAATGAAACATCTTAGAATAGTTTTAATTTGTTTATTAAACAAATTGTCACTGGCAGGGTACAGGAATCTCAGAAGTAAAATGTTAAATGTAAAATTATTTTCAAAAGGTGAAGTCACCAGTCTGAGTAAGGTGCTTTTTGGGGATTTTCTTATTGCTCATTGTTTCAAAAACACATGACAATTGCAGACACCCTTGGTAAATGTTACAGCACTAAAAATGTTGATTCCAGTGCATATCGCTGAGTTACTGCCAGCTAAAACTGTGAACTGTCCATAATTGTTGTAAGCACTTGCCAAAAGAACGTTTAACAGCTGTCCCTAAATTTGAGATAGTAGTACCTTTATTGCTGCTTCTGTTGTGCTAGTGCTGCAGTCAGTGTATGGGTTAACTGATAGTGATGCTTTACAGGTTTAACATTTTGGCATTCCCCCCCCCAGAGACTTTCAAGAGAAGTAAGCAGTTTCCTTTGGTTAGTTTGAATAGGTTAAGGTCAGCCTTTGGACTCTGCTGACAGGCTATGGGGCTTAGGCCACAATACTTAGCTCTCTCTGCCCTTTTTAAATTTTATATATGCTACAAATTTTAAAAGTTACTCACAGGAATATTCACATTGCTTTCTGCAATTTGTTTCATTCAGGTGTTGTAGCTTCTTTGTGTTTCTGGAAAAGTACATGTTCTGGTAATTACATTTTGCTAGTTAACACTTCCATTTATTACCTAAACACTGACCTTCTCTGTATTAGCCAGCTAAAGAAAGCTGTGGGGCTTTTGGTTTTAGGGTTGTCCAGTGCAATCAGTTTTGGTTTTAATAATTAAAATCATCAACTGCCAAGTGAAACAAAATTATGAGCTCCCCAGTCCTGCCTCTGAGCATAAATCTGACTGACTAAGCAATTAAATCAAGATCCGCAGCTGAGAACACATTTTGGGGAAGGTGAGTTAAGCACAAGGCTGGATTAGCATCTCTTTTCCTAATGGAGAATGGCATCAATGGCCTGGCTGCAAGCGTGCTGTGGAAAAAATAAATCAGTCTTCAAGTTCAGTGGAGGCTGGATTGTAGTTACAGCTTGTGTGCTGTTATTCTTTTAACAGTTGTGTATACAGGAGTGATTTTTAGAGTGTGCTTTATTTGAAAGGGTGAGTTTGGATCTTTACAAATAGAGAATCTTTATTTCTGCTGGTCCTCTTCAGCAGTGAGCCCTCTAATGGGAGTACATTAATATAACTGTTTATCCTTGGTCTCACATGTACATGATACTGATTGAGGACAAAGTTTGTTTCTTCCACAGACGATGTACAGTAAAACATCATACACATTTATTTATTACAGAATCATTTAGGTTTGAAATTACCTTTAATATCATCGTAAACCTAAAACTGACAAGTCCACCACTAACCCATGTCCCTGAGCACCACATCTACACGCCTTTTAAATACCTCCAGGGTTGGTGATTCAACCACTGCCCTGGGGGGTTGGTGATCCAACCGCTGCCCTGGCCAGCCTGTTCCAATGACTGACAACCTCTTCAGTGAAGAAATATTTCCTAATAGCCAATTTAAACCTCCCCTGGCACAGCCTGAGGCTTTCACCTCTTGTCCTAGGGCTTGTAACTTTGGAAAAGAGACCAGCCACCTGGTGGCTCCATCCTCCTTTCAGGTAGTTCTAGAGAGCAATAAGGTCTCCCTGAGCCTTTGCTTCTCCAAACTAAACACACCAGTTCCCTCAGCGATTCCTCACAGGACTTGTGCTCCAGACCCTTCACCAGCTTTGCTGCCCTTCTCTGGGCCCACTCCAGCACCTCAATGTCTCTCTTGTAGTGAGGGGCCCAGAACTGAACACAGGATTCGAAGTGCAGCCTCACCAGTGCCCAGTACAAGGGAATTATTATTTCCCTAGTTCTGCTGGCCACACTAGTTCTGATACAATCCCAGATGCTGTTTGCGTTGAGGTACACAGTTTTGAGGAGCTGGGCATCTGCTCAGTTTCCAGTTGTCAAAAAGTTAGCTTTACTTTGAAACATTCTTTTGCGAAGTTATTTTGTGAGTTTGTTTCCGAATGTAGGGTTGAAACAGGGGAATAGTAATGAAAGCATGAAAATATGTGAAGTAATATAAGAGGAGTTACATGCAGAGAATACATGATAGTGATATTTTAACAGTAGCTTTGAACACTAAAGACCAGAAGTGGATGTTGTGAAGACCTGTTGTCAGTGGAGAGAATCACAGAGAAAAGCAAAAATTGGGGAAGCAATACTTTCAGCAGTTTGCCTCTGTCACTGAAAGCACAAATTCCTTCAGCCTGACTTCTTGCATTCATTCCTCTTATTCCTTTGGGTGGAAGAGGAAGACTGCCGATATGTAATCTTAAGTAAAAACTTGGATTGAAATAGGATCCAGAGCTTTAAAGGTTAAGGACTTAGTGTTGCTTAACTGGTTCATGTTTAATTAAGCAAAATGCAATTAGATTTACTGGGAATTAAAACCACATTCTCAAATACAGCAAAAAAACTCTAAAGGATTCCCTTACAGTTGTGGGCCATTCAGCTATAAAATTGTTTCCCATTTTGTAGTAGTCACTAGCCTTTCTTTTTAATTAAGCTTTAAGCAGTTGTGCTTAAGCTGTAACCAAAAGTACTTTTTCTTACAGTTTTTGCAAGACCTTTGCTGTGTATCCATATGTATGATTGTAAAATAAATTTGATTATTAGTCATAAAATTTGGAATTAAGTTCTTTCTGACTAATGTCACTTTTTTCATCTTTTTAGTATGGAAGAACACCTTTACATCTGGCAGCAAACAATGGCATTCTTGATGTTGTCCGGTTCCTGTGTCTTACTGGTGCCAATGTAGAAGCTTTAACTTCTGTAAGTATTGAGAGATACTTTTATGCTTACTGCTTCTCTTATGTATGATAGTAGGAAACAAATTAATTTAGAAAGGGGTGGAATTTGAAACTGATCAAGGTACAGTACAGCTACCACTTGATTTACTCCTAAGAATTTCTTGACTTAACAATTAATTGTATCATTGTGTTTTCTGTAAGCACATAGAAACGTGTGCTTAATGACAGGGCTGCTGTGATGTATGTGATGTGAAGTGATTTACACTTTAATGACAGGACTGCTGTCATTAAGGTGTAAATCACTTCACATCACATACAGTTACCATACAAATGTACTGTATATATATTAAATATTTTTTCTGCTTTCAGGAGATTATAAAGTTTTATTTTCAGGGTGGGAAATGCGTGGGTTTATGGATGAGTGAACTAGCATGCAAATATCCTTACAAAACAAATCATCTGTGTCAGAGCAGTCACACTGAAGGTGTTTTTCATTCTAAGATGAGAAATGTCCTCCTAGCTGACACATCCACAGCAGGGATGATGTGTCCTTCATCATACACACTTCATATGCACATGATACTTTATGGGCATCATACACATCACTACCTGTGTTTTGAACAAACTAAGTATATTTTATTTTCAAATGCATTGGATGAGTTTGCATAGCTACTTGCCCTAACCAATGTTTTCTACCCAGAAATAACTATTGCTCTGTATATTAAAATCGTGTTGTGATAAGATTTTGAGGCTGTGTTTTTCAAAGTTCTCTAATAAATTACTCCTGAGATGGCCAAAATGGAGAGGGAAAAAGGAGAAAAAAAGCATTTTATTTGCTTTACCCATTTGCTAGATAATACAGTTGGTTTTCTTGTTTTCCTGCATATTTAGCACTGTATTTTCTTCCCTCTTAAGTGCACATCTCATGTGGCAGGAGAATGCCAATGAACTTAAAATTGTTGGGTTTTCTGTTTGGTTGGGTTTTTTTTTTGGTTATATCCCAACGTGTATCTGTATTTTCACTACTACATACTGTAGAGATAAGATAAAACAAAAAAGTGATGGGGAAATTCTTGAGCTGTGTCGCTTCATTTATGTCATGATGACAGCTGTGTTGGTATAATTCCCAGTATGAACCCTGTCCTTCCAAGATAAAAGTACTTTTTATCTCTTTAGTTTAAATAGTTTGAAGGGGATAACACAATAAATTGTGCTGTTACTAAATGTGGCAGAAGCAGATTGAATATACATAACTGTCCATTATTCCATCAGTGCTGTAGTGAAGAGAAAGGAAAAGGAGGAGAGGGGGAGAGGAAGTGAGTGTTGTGATTTTAATAACATTTCAGTTTTGCATTAGTTTTCCAGGTGGATGTTAAACTGTTCTGAAAAGTCTTAGTAACAGCTCTTTCTGAGTCAGCACGGTAGAATTAATTACCTTTTCCTTCTCTCAGAATGCTGCTTCTGAGAAGTTAACATTTTCAGCACTGTTAAGTAACTAGGCTGCAGTAAGCCCATTTAAGGACTAGTTTATTTGAATTAGATTGCATGAATGTTGTTAAGTGACCTTAAAAAACCTTAAGTTCCTGGAGCATACAATAATTTCAGATAATTCCACTGTATATATACCCTGTACTTTTCAAGAAAACTTTAACAGGAAAACAAGTTACTGAAACCCATTTCCTATTTTGCTTGGGTATGTATTTTCTAATTCTTGTTGTGTTCTACAGTTCATCCTGCTGTGGATACCCAGAGAATGTGCACAGCCTCATCTTATTCGCAGTTTTGGACAAAAAGAGAACTTTATTCTGTTAATTTCTTTGTCACGGAAGCATTTTTCTATGTGTTATCTTAATAAATTGAGCTTCTAGATCTGCGTCTATATTTACAACAGACATGCGATCTGAACTACTAGCCTCTGTCAATGTAAACATCTGAAAGTGCTTTTTTGGGGGTGAATTTGACCTAGAGTTCTTTCTGTTGTACTTGTTGCCAGTGTTCTGGGGTAGCTTTCGCTTACTCCACTGGCCTTTCTGCATATCTTGTTACTCTGTGGTCTAATGACCATGACTTCAAAACTCATGCTTGTGAGGCAGTGCCCTTGCGAAGGCATTTCTGCCATAAGCAGAGGTGAGCTAGGAGCCAAGAGTAGACGACACAGCAAGTAAGGACAGTGTCCTCGACAACAAGGGCTGGGTCCCATAGTACCCAAGCATGACAAACAGAGCAGGTCCAGTGACGGCAACCAGATTCATACAGGAGTCAGGCTGCCAGACAAGTCCATAACAATGAGGCAGGTCTGAAGTTAAGTCAAGGTCAGGAATTGGGCTCAGTGACCATGGTTGCCCAAGGGTCTAGTGATACCAGGCAAGTCCACAGAGAAGAGACAGATTCAAGGTCAAACCCAGAAGTCAGGAGCTGGGTCAGTGGGATACATGACCACACAGGCATATAGTTGTGGTGTTGCTCAGGTGAGGACCAAGGGCAAAAGCTTCAACCTGAGAGCAACACCTGAGCAAAAAGTAGTGCAAAGCTCCGGATAGGGCTGCTTTTCAGGTCATCTTCTTTCACAGCACCAAGATTAGACAGCTGTATCAGACAGCTGGTCTTGAGCTCAAGAACCTGTTAAGAGGCGGTGAGAGATCTCTGGGTCATGACAGTGCCATCCCATTTTTGCTGGTGGGCTCTATGCACACATCTGCTTAGGCTTCTGGCAATTTGAACGATTCTTGTTGCCATTTTTCCAGTGAGCCACTGCCACCCACACTCCTTGGCAAATACTCACCAGATTGTTATTTCCTTTGTGTTTGTGCCTTTATAGTTGTGACTGAGATAAACAAATGATGTATCAGAGTACAGCTGGTTAGCCAAAGCCAGGCTTGAAGCCAGAGCAAACCCCCATGGAGCAATGAGGCACAGCAAGCAAGGGTGTGAAGTTGTCCAAGCCTTGCCAGTACAGTTGTGACCCACTCTGGTTCAAAGGAACAATGCCCATACAGGGATCTGTCACTGCATACATGCTTGGTGCTGGAGTTTGACAGCCATTTCCAACCGTATGTTGCAGCAGGAACATACTGCACTCTAGAAACTGCAGGGCCAGGCTCTAACAGTCCTGCTTTAGATATACGAGGAGGCCAAGGTTGTGGGGATCCAGATGAAATCCACACTTTTGTCTGGGGGAGGCTGCATCCAGTTACCATAGGGATTCTCAGGAAGGGGATCAAGGTTTTCCCCTTTACTTTAAGGTTTTGGATTCTGCTATATGTGCCCAAGACTGGAAACTTGGAAAGCACTAAAAGTACTGCAGCAGTTCTGATGGCAGGCTAGCTGCCCAGCCACTAGACTGCTCTTCCCTTATACAGCAGACACTGGGGATTAACTAGGATTTGGAGAGTAGGGTCAGCACAAATAAACAAATTTTTCTCCTTCAGATGTTTCTTTACTAAAGTTGCAATTACATGTCAGCTGTGGAAGGAATTTAAGGGTAAGGTATTGGTTCAAATTTAGTCGGTTCACACCATCAACTGCACTTCTGTCTGTTTCTTGCTAGTGTTCTGTTCCTGTTCTGCCTGAATTATCTCTGGAGTACATAATAACTTTTATGGAAACCTGAAAATGTCTTCTGTAGCTGGACACTCAATTGTCAAGGATGTTTATTTCCTGTAATACAGTAATTGTAATAATACTGTAATAATTACAGTACCCTCAGGAACTACTTAAGACAATGCAGGTTTCACATGATAAACTAGTAAAATCAAAGGCAGAAACACAAATAAAGAGATCTTTGTTTTCCAGTATTACTTATTAATAACTGAATGGTTTCATCTGAGAGTGAAAGAAGCAAAGTGCTTGTAAATTAGTTACCTGTTACCAAATTTGAAACAATACAATAGCATTAATGTAGTTGTAGAAGTACTGAGCAATTTTCCTTTCAGCCAACTTAGTATTAGATTGCTGACCTAGGAAACATGGGTAATTAAATGGCAAGACCAGAATACTGAAGGTAGCTTTGCTTTTTTTAAATTTGCTGATGCAATTTAAACGTCATCCCTTGCAATGTTCTTGCTTTCTGGAATTCTTCAGTGACTGTTATGCCACTGTCATTTTTTTAGGTCTGTTCAGTGTGTAGAAATTGCTATCATACTGTAATTGATGGGAAGAGAAACTCAGATGGGGAGTATTGGCATCACTCTAAGGTTCCAAATTCAAAGTATCTTGTTGCAGTGGTATCCAGATGCCAATTTGTGTAAGAAATGCCATTGTTCTGCATTGTACCTTTTTTTTTGACTATTTAAAAAAATGGGGATTCTGGTGGGGTGTGATCAGTACTGGTTGTTGTGTGGGTTTTGGTTTTGGGGTTTTTTTTTTTCTTCCTATTGCATTTACATCTGACAGGAATTCTGTTACTACCTTGAGTAGCTGAGCTATGTTACGTGTGAGGTTTTTTTACTGTCAGAAAAAAGGAAGGAACTGCTGCTAATAGTTTGTGTTTTGACAGGATGGGAAAACAGCAGAAGATCTTGCCAGAGCAGAGCAGCATGAACATATAGCCAGTCTGCTTGCAAGACTTAAAAAGGTTGGGAATGCATGAATTTTAACTAAGGTTTTCATGTTTTTAAAATACTAAGAAAAGTTTGACCATGGAAAATCATGTGATAAGGTACTCATCAAAGCCATTCTGAAAAACCAAGTGCAAAAATCCTTACTGGAATGGTGCCTCTTTTTTATGGGGAGAGACTTTGGTGGGGGGGACATTGAGGGAAGAGGATTTTTTTGTTTGTTTGGGTTTTGTGATTTTGTTTTTGTTCTTTAATTTTAATTTGAAATTATGCCCTCAGTTAAAGCTAGTATGTACATACTAACAAAAATGGCTAAACTAATCTGCACCACTGATCTATTGTATCCTGTCTCTGACATTGGCTACAAAACATCTAAGGTGTCAGAAGAAACTGGAAAATAAACTGTTGAGAATTAGCACATCCCACAAGAGGACTTATTTCCCCTACTCATCACCATTTTAGTTAGATCAGGGTTATGAAGTATGAGGGGGTTGTGCCTCTTCTGGAAACTAATACCATATGGAAAAGTTGTGGAAGTTTTCAGTGTCTTCTTTTAATTCTGGAGTTTCAGTATCTCCGAATCCCCTGACAACTAGAACGGAAACCTTATCTTTCCAGAAAGCGGGGCTTGTTGTAAGACAGTAGGTCTGACACACCTGATAATGCATTGATTATTTTGGACAGGCAGCGTCATTCATAATGTGAAGGTTCAGGGAACACTTTCCTGGAGATTACAGACAAGAGCCAGACCAATTAAAACAATCCTGTTTTAATTATGCTGATGGGCCTGTGGAAAACTGAAATAAATTAACATTTCAGAATAGCAGTAGAAGACTGTGCATACCAGGCATTGCCAAGGTGGAAGTAGAGTCTCATCCTTTACTCCTGCAAGTAAAACTATACTTCCTACAACTGTAAAACGTATCAGTGAAGATGTCAGAAAGTGCCAAAGTTCAGGCTTCCTTTACAATGGTAGGTTTTGTAAACATTTGTGGTAACAGGATCTGTTTTTCATAGTTGTATCCCCACACCAAACCCTTGCCAGTGTCTGCAGGCAGGTAAATAAAACTGTGGTTTAGTCATGGTCTAGATATGGAACTAATACAAGTTGGCCTGGAACAAAAGGGAGAAGGTCAGGTAAATCTCTTCTGAAAGAGATGTTAGGTAGTTGTTAACTCTTTTCTTGATAGCAGAGTATACTTAATTATTGAAGGCCTGCATATATATATATATATA